GACATTTTCAGCATCTCTTCTTCTTCTCCTCTTCTCTGCTACTTAGACTACAGTGGTTCAGCTTACAGGCAGCAGTTATTTGGTCAGTTTGGGAGGAAAGAACTTCTAGAATCTTTGGGGGAAAGGAGAGGAACAGGGAAGCACTGATCAAAGTCATAACTCTAAGAGTGGCTCATTGGGTCGAGACTCTCAACTTGTTTTCAGACTTTAAGATTGATGATTTTTTTAGGGCTTGGGGGGCTATAGAAGCCTCTTCTTCTAGAAGACAGATTGCAACGGGTGGACTGGTCTCCCCTGCCTCATAGTTGGTTGAAACTGGATTTTGATGGGAGTAGTGTGGGTAATTCAGGCCCCACTGGAATTGGAGGAGCTATCAGGGATGATGAAGGCAATATATGTGCCTTCTTCTCGGGCCTAGCTGGGCAAAATGATGTGGCATCAACGTAACTCTTAGCAGCTGTCTATGGGCTTGAGAAAGCCAAGGAATTGGGCTTAGAGAGGCTAATTATTGAAGGTGATTCCAAAATAGTTGTGGATTGGTTAAAGAAAGGGGAAGGAGTTTCGTGGCACCTAAGAAATGATTTTAGGAGGTTCAAAAGGCTCTCCAGGGATATGTTGATTCAAATTAATTGGACTGGAAGATCGGCCAACAGTTTGGTGGATAGTTTAGCTAAACAAGGGGTACATAGGCATTCTATGTTTTGGATTCAATTGTAATTTTGGGGGTTTGGAGTCTTTGGACATTAGGTGTCTATTTGTAACCTTCACAACTTCTTAATGTGCCTCTTTAATCAGTTTAATGAAATCTTTTTTCTGAATATTGATAAAAAAAAGAGATGCTAATTCTGTAGTTTGCCATGTGATTATGTCACCCCCTAGCTAAATAGGGGGTGGGGAGAGAATCTCTGTTTTGGGCACAATTGTAAGGGAGTTGGGTTTGGTAGGGGAGAGATAAGAGGTTTTATCTCTCATAGTCTTTGTTCTGTACCTCTATGTCCTGTACCTATTACTTATTGCCTTAATTAATGAAATCTTTGAGTTATTGATAAAAAAAAGATACTATGCCTAGATGTAAGTGTTGAAATGTGTATCACATTCAAATATGACAATGTCTGAAATGGTTAGGTGAGAAGTCAAAAAATAAAATTTCCATTATACATAGCTTACAAGACAATAGAACTTACCAGAAGGAGTGACCTTAGAGCAGCAGCAAAGGCATGATTAACCAGACCATTCTTGAATTGTGACCTCGACTCAACAAACTGATTGATCAACAAAAAGTTATTGCACAATGGAAATATCCGTTTTGCCAATTCCTGCAATGGTAAAGTCCTGGTAATCAGATCTTAACCAGACCATTCTTGAATTGTGACCTCGACTCAACAAACTGATTAATCAACAAAAAGTTATCGCACAATGGAAATATCCATTTTGCCAATTCCTACAATGGTAAAGCCCTGGAAATATCCATGAGCATTAGAGATGCTGTTCTTGTAGGATTTCTAATTGGTTTTATGATTTTTCTTCTGGCACATAGTTTTGAAAGAGGGTGAGGGATCTTTTCCCTTCTTGGGCTGGGAATATTTGTAAGTTGAACTACAATAAAAGTTTAAACACTTTTAACTTATACAGTTTTTCAAGAATCCAATTCCATCATCATCACCCTAGCTTTATCCCAACTATATGGGGTCAGCTACATGAATCATGTTTCACCATTCTGTTCTGTTTAATGCCATAACTATTGTTAAATTATCGGCTCTTAAATCATTTTTACTACTTCTACCCATGTCCTTATGGGTGTTGTTGATGGTCTTCTATGCAAATGACCAAACCATCTTAGTCTACTTTCTGTCATTTTATCACCTGTTGGAACTACTCCTAGATTCCTTATAATGACTTCATTTCTTATCCAATCAAAATGTATAAAAATAACCCATTGAATTAAAATCCCTACATTACTAATATTACTAGTTATATTCTCACCTGAAGTGCCAAATCCATAGATGTATCAAATTGGAGATTCATTTCATCCTCTTTTCCACGAATCGTGTATCTTCCCTCAATTCCAACCAAGCCAGAGAGGAGATCGTCAATAACCAAGAGTTCCTGCTTAACAAGAATAAAGAAATCCCTTATTTCCGCAAAAATCCTCATAAAATATTACATCCAGATTATTAAACAAGGTCAAAATTACTTGTCAAATCCAAACAGCAGAAAAAATAATAACCATAAGATCTCATTTTAACTTTCAGAATGAAGTCTGGATAGTTTCAGATAGAAGGGGGACTCATACAGAAGAAGAAAACTACATTAAATTATACTCTTTGACATTTTTATTCTCATCAGTCAGAAGATATACCTGAACAGAAGCATGATAATACCCAATTGGATTTTCCGAACACGGGCTGCTTGATTAAGTCACAGAAGAATTATTAAATATCAAGAAAAGAGTATCTCCTTTTAAGAAAATAACAACTACAATAGATAGAAGCCATCGATTCTATACCTAAACGAATCGGAGGAAAATGCTTTAGTTCCTATCTGTTGAGAAGGAGCTTTTATTTCCTGGAAAAAAAAAAAACAATGACCGAATAATCAGCATTTTATTGCAAAATAAAAACAAAAAGGAAACAAAATTAAGAGTTCATTGAGAATAAACCCTACGAAGAAGATCGTAAAAGAAAATGAGACCTGATAGGAGGCGGCGTCCATGGAAACGCAACTTCACTAAGCGATTCGGATCAAGCAAACACTGGTTTCAAATTTAAGTAAAGTGGCGGGTTTTCTTCATGATACGACTTCCATTTGTTTTATACTTTTATTTTATTTTTAGGGTAAAATATAAAAATTTCCCCTGAAGTTTCTGACAATCATCAAACTTCCCCTATAGTTTTATTTTAGCAAAAATTTCTATTTTTGATAAAATTAATAAATACCTCCCTTCTATAAGACAGAAAACGTTAAAAATGATATTTTATCAAAATATCTATTTTACCCTTTTTTCAAATACTTCTTCCCCGTTCCAACCCAGAAGCATAGCAACGGCAGCGGCACCCCCTCTCAGCCACTCCTTCCTCCCTCTCTCTTTTCTCTCTCATTTTCTTCTTCTTCTAGTTAGTTGGAAATACCCCATATTCATCGCCTTCCATTTGAGACTGAGCGGAGCAACGATGACAATTTGAAATAATTTCCAATAGAATGCCTTTTCCTATATATCGCATTCAAACGATGTTTTTTTTTTGCCTATAAAAGGAGATGAAGGCAGGATGATAACACGACCTGAGCCCAGGAAAAAAAAAGGTATAGAGAGAAACTGTATACAGCAGGAATAGAGGCAAATCCGGTTGATGAGAGGAAAGAAGTTAATGGAGAGAAAAATGAAACTAATCTAGAGGAAGAAATAGAGATTACAAAACCGGAAAAAAACTATGCAAGACCAGAAGCTGTCATGGGTGAAGCTTCGCCATGTAGACTCGCTCCACAGGCTGTGAGAGTTTCAAATGGTTGGATGAACCACACTGCGAAGGTCTGAGAGTAATTCATCTATTCTTTTTTTCTTTGTTAATCTCTGTTTTGGGGCTGAAAAAATACAAATTTCTGTTGACTGACTAACCGTGTGTGCTATAATTATATATAACAGATGGGTTGGAGAACGATGCTGAGTCTGGCATTCCAGAGCATAGGAGTGGTGTACGGGGACATAGGGACATATCTCCACTTTACGTGTATGCAAGCACCTTCAACGATGGAATCCATAACAATAACGACATACTAGGCGTATTGTCACTCATAATTCTGCTACCGCTGTCATCGTTGCTCCGCTCGGTCTCAAATGGAAGGCGATGAACAGGGGGCATTTCCAACTGATTAGAAGAAGAAGAAGAAAATGAGAGAGAAGGGAGAGAGGGAGGAAGGGAGTGGCTGAGAGGGGGTGTCGCCGCCGCTGCTATGCTTCTGGGTTCCAACGGGGAAGGGGAGGAATAGTGCCTTTTCGATTGATTTATATTGAGGGGGAGAGGAGCAATAGGAAAGAGAGATTGGGAGGGAGAGAATGGCGAAAAGGGAGAGGTTTTGCATGAAGCACCACCGTTGCTGAGAGTTGCAGCGACGGTGGTAGAAAACAGGGGTGATGGAAGGGGACAATGATAGAAGAAGAAGAAGCCGAAGAAGATGAGAAAAGAGGAAGAGATCAGATTTAGAGGGGTGTAGAGGGGTGTCGCCTCAGCTGCTATGCTTATGGGTTCCAATGGGGAAGAAGATGAATAGTGTTCGAGAAAGGGTAAAATAGGTATTTTGAAAAAAAATATCATCTCTTTTAATGTTTTTTTTTATTGACAGAAGGGAGGTATTTGTTAATTTTATCAAAAATAGAGGGGAGGTTTTTATGATTATTAAAAACTTCAGGGAAGGTTTTTATGATTGTTAAAAAAACTTCAGGGGAGGTTTTTGTATGTTACCCTTATTTTTAAATTGTCCTAATCCCCTTTCTCTTCCGCCTCCACCATTTATTCCCCCTCCCGGTGGTCGCTATCAGTTGCAGTCATTCAGTTAATCCAAACTCTTCTCTCATTTTCCATGATTTCAAAAACAAAATAAAAGAAATGGTAAATTAAAGATAGGTACCATATACTTGGGGGGCATTGGCACATAGGTACTTTGAATTTTCAATTGCAACACTTAATAACTTTCAAAAATAAACTCTTGAATCCATCTGTTAGTATTCCATCAATTAAACATTACGTAATGTTAAAAATACCATTATTGTGTATTTTTTATATCATTTTGCATAATAAAATCATCACTAGAGAATGTCAACGTCAAAAAATTTGAATATGTTATTTGCTGTCCATGTGAGAACATCATTGTGGGGAGACGTTCAATTACTTGAGAATAATCTCAAAAATACACAAAAAGGGTATTTTTGGTATTATGTAATGTTTAACTAACATAATACTAACGGATAGATCCAAGTCTTTATTTTTGAGAGTTCAAGGTAAAGTGTTGCAATTGAAAGTTTAAGATTGCCTATCTATCACTACCCCCAAAGTACAATATACCTATTCGTAATTTACCCTAAAAGAAATATTTCTTCTTTCTCATATTTGAAAACCCTCTTCAATCCCCATGTGTGAGTCCCTTCTCAATATAGACTAACGGGAGACAATGGTCTCTTGCAACTACTTTATGATTTCTTAAAAATATTACCAAACAAAGAATACAACACAAAAGGTTTACAAGCATGACAACGTTTTTGGAGAGAGAGAGAGAGAGAGGGAGGGAGAAATTTGACTCAAGGATGTCAACAGGCTCCTGATGTTAAAGCCATATGGCTCAAACGATTTAGAGTCATTTCTTGTGTGGTTTTGGACGAGGTTTCGACGGGCTCTTTCATAATTGGTTCTTGATGGTCATTGTTGTGTGATCAGCGGGGAGAGTGAAAGCAAGAGGAAAAGGGGAGAGAGAGAGAGAGGAGAGGAAGAAATAGGATTAAGAGTAGAGCAAATAAAAAAATTCTCTCTCCCATCAATCTCAATTATGAAAGGATTAGCAATGTAGCTCTGTCGCACATGGAAGTGTACTTGCGAAGCTGATGTGGAAGGTTGTAATTGGTCACACAGCCTCCGCTACAGCCTTCTCCATTCAGTTAGTTCGAAATATTGAAAAATGGGTTGAATATAATAAACGATGAAATGGTAATACTAACACCATTGGTTTGTTCAACATCAAGTTACTGACATAAGGTTCCTTGGACATTTTGAAAAGTTATAGTTAGTTTAAGAGAAATGTAGAAAAGTCATCATAAGTTTTAGCTTGCATGTGTGACAATGTGAATATGCTATTGCGTTTTTAGATTTAGCTTGTTGACGACTTCTTCTAACATAACATTCTCACAATTCTCGCTATCACTTATGAGGCATGCTATCTTCTCCCCTATATTAAAAGTATGTGTGAAAGATGCTATTTCTAAGCTAATCCTGTGATTCATCTCTTGGTGTTAAGAATGACCACTGCGTTATTAAGGCTTCACCTACATCACCATACACCAATTCATCTTCTAAAGCCTCAACATCGTAAGAGTCAAACTTAGGTTGGGTTAAAAAGTCACATGCTTCCCACTGGGATTCTCTCTCATTTTATACAAATAACACTCTATTTTTTTTGTCGTCCCTTGCACATTCATTAGATTTATGGCTTAGATCACCACATTTATAGCATTCTAACCAGACAAACCTACCTGATTTTGGTTTGGTCCACTAAATTGGGCTCAGCCCAATTGATTAGGCTTATTGTTTTGCTTTTCTATGGTTAGATCATGTTGACGAACCATAGATACATCAAAACAATCAATTAACTCTAATATATCCTCAATATTTGGTCTCAACCCACTAATGTACCAAGCCACTAATTGGTCATTAGTTTCAGTTAATCCATTATGGGTCATTAACAACTGAAACTTTCTTGTATACTCATCTACACATATTAGTTTCTTGCTTTAGATTCTGCAATTCTTGGTAAAGTAAATGATATTGAAAGGATTGATCTTGGCCCAAATAGGGCAGACTTTGCTAGGTATAGAGATGAAATTTTTAATTTTTGAATCAATCTAAGAAAGGTGAAATTGAATTTCATGGAGAAACTAGCTTTTTCCTATGATCAATCAATTTGACATCCAAAATTAGGGTTGAGTGTTACTTGATACAAATGCCACAATTAGGGGTGGATTCGAGCTGAGTCAAGCTGAATACTTGGTTATTCAAGCTCAGCTCACTAAAATTGTACTAGGCTTGAGCTCAAGCTCGAGATCGGCTCAGTTCAAAGCTCGCAATTTTAAGCTCGGTTCGATTCAAACCTCGCAAGCTCGAGCTAGACTACAAGCCAAGTTTTTTTAAAATAAAAATTATACATATAAATATATTTTTATTTTACATACAAAAAATTAAGAACTATAAAAATTATTTACTATTATAAAAAATAAAATTTTATATATAAAATATTGCTATGTATAATAAAAATTATTTATTATATATATTTATATGTATGTATGTATGTATGTATATAATAAAAAATTATTTATTTATAATACTAGGCTCGATTAGTAAACGAGCCTATATATCAGGCTCGAGCTCGACTCGAACCTCACTTGTGGCCACCCCTAGCCACAATTGCAGCTCCCTATATAGTGTAACACGCCAAAGGAATTGGCCAAACATCAATTTTCAAGATAAAGATGGCGTAACCTCCAATCAAGAACTCAATCTAGCCAACTTTGTGAATAGCGAACCTTATACGCTTATACACTAATGGACTGATTTATTTGCCAATAATGATTAGCTATTAATTACTAAATAAAAGCTTGGGTTTTGTTGGAAAAAAAGTTATAGAAAAGAGGAAGAACAAGTCTCCTCAAAGCCTAGGTTGAATTGGGGTTTGGTAGACAATCTTGGCGATGTAATCTCTCGCATGTCTCCTACACTATATCTTAAATATAAGACTTCTAGAGTCCAAAAAAGATTTTTCTCGAATACTTTTCAACTGATTTGGAGACTTTCTAATTAGGATAATATCCCAATCTCATCAGGAGTTTAAGAGAATAAAGTAATTAGCTAACTTAGCCCAAGAATCCCAACAACATAACCTCCTAGTTAAACTAGGTAAATAGTTAGTAAAACTTGCCTTGTTGGAATTTAATTAAATCTCTTAAGTGATGTTTTATTATCACATGATTGACCAACCTCTTTTGACATCTTCCTTGTATGGCATGAGAGCCACATAACTCTTAAGGCTTACCACCTCGATTT